AGGGTATACTTCTTTTAGCCATTTTATGAGTATTGTTATGTATTGATTTGGCACATAATCTACTGGTAGATCGCAAATGACTTTCTTTTCCACAGCTTGAACAAACACGTCTGCTGGTTGTTGCATCATTAACGCTGATTTTTTCTGTTTGCTGATCTACTTTCATAGTTTCAGATTGAGATCCCAGTTTATACAAAGAGTTCGATTATGATTGTAAAGTGAAAACAAATTTGAGTCATACGATTAGCAATGTTGTTAGCGCAATGGCGATAAGAAGATCGATAATGGCCTATAACACCACAGCTTCCGCAAATGTTAGTATTAGCACGGGTGTTATTGAGGCAAAGCCTGCTTGCAGAACGTGAATGGCCTTCTTGACCACAGCTTGAGCAGATTCTAATAGCAGGCGCTCTGTGTTCGTAGTAATAAAAAGTGTCAACATATTTGCATTAAATAAAACAGAGTGTGCAGCTTAAAAAGTCGCCTTTGCTGGTTAGACCATGTCCAATTTCGAAAGATTCAAGCTTTTTCGCCCGAATTTCGACATTATTCACTTTGTTTAGAGAGTTTTAATTTTAGATTAATGTACATGGTCATCTATTTCATGTTTTGTTTCATACGCACATTTTACTTGTAATTTTCTGAAGTGTTAAAGTATTTTTAATTAGTTTCTGAAATTGAGGATGTGCTTGGCTCAATGCCAACTTCTCGAAATTTAACAAACTGGGATGGAACTGAAAAAACCAACTAAAGCATTTGTTAACTCCATTTCTTCTTGGTTTGGGTTTGTTTTGCTTTATTCTTGAGCTTCAAGCGACTTTAATGCGGCTGTTTTTTTTACAAAGCGTGTAAAAAAAGTTAGCAGACTCCATTTTTTTTAATTATATAGATTCTATTATCTAAATTTATATTTCTGATGCTGTTTATACTGGAAGTGGCGGTTCTTTTATTTTGCTGCCAATACATTTGAAGCCTTTAGCAATGTTAAGAGTTAATTTAGATTGCGAAAGGCATAGTGCATCTTCATTGATGCTGTTAATTCAAACTTGCAAACATGCGAGTTGAGCCTATCAATAATTCTCTTTTTATAGTTTGCATATAGTCCCTCACGCAAAACGAGTTTATGAGTCTTCTTAAAATAAATGTGTTGGGGATGCAATCATACTCTACATAGACCATTCTCCCTTTACAATGTGAATGAATTGTTAAGATAAGTAATAGCTCCTTATTCGATAACCTCGAAAGGTCTCTCAACCGTTCTAGTTTGTTCAACCAAACTAAAAGGTTGATTTTGATTCGGCTATTTGTAGCAATACATTTCTTGTCACTACGAGTACCGATAACCTGACCTAAAAAGTCCTTTAGGTCATTCAGAAATCAAGTGAAATTAAAAATCTTTATAGCTGGACCACCATAGTCGTTGGATTCAGTAACGACGGAAGCAAAGGATGACATGGTTTTGTGTATATATCTCTTTTCTGTATTTCTTTTTTATAGAGGGAGTGTAGCAAACTGATTTATGTTTCTTTAGCTAAACGTTCTGCTTCACCCACACCGCTTGATAAATCAATAAAAATTAGATATAGCAAATTTGAGGTAGGAGCGAGGGTTGAGTGCTATCAATATTCCTGGACACATGACCCTTTCTACCAACCTCTGTTCAATTGTAGCACCTTGGCCAACTGAAAAAATCAATTACAATGACAGGTACCAAAAATCGAAAGAGTTCAGATGCAAATATTGAGTAGGGTTTGAGTGTTTTCTAAATAAAATCCTTTAACTTAGCAATGATGATTAGATTGTAAAAGATAGTTAATCGCCTATGCTTATTATATATATTGTCTTCAATCTTGTTGTACCATTACTTTAAATTCGCAGAATTAAGTTGTCAGTTCCTATGCAATTCGAATTGTTGTTGTATCTGTTGTATCCTGTTGAATAATAATGATGTATCGTTGACATAATAAGTAAAATAAAACAATAAACTAATAAACTAATAAATGGAACTTATTCTCATCCATCTTGTGGTCATGTTTTGATGTAACATGAAGATATAGAGGATATTGATAGAAGAAAGTAGGTTTTGCAAGGGTTTGGTAGTGTGAGAGTGTTGCTTGAGAGTTATATGAATAACGATTATTTTCAAAGACGATTAAATAAAGAGGCTACAAGCGATTATATCACGGAGAACGTAGGGTCTTTATTAAAGATTGAAAAGGAAGCCAAGATTTCTCTGGTCCTGGTTTCTAAAAGTCTTTATACAATTCTTTGAATGTCAGTGTCAATATTGGAATTGAGATGAGATTCATCCTTCAGTGAATAGGCGAAAACCGACATTGCTGATAGTTTTTTGGTTGAATAGACTTATTTATGTTGCTATAGTGTTTGTCTTGAGAGTTTTTAATACAATCTCTAAGATCGTCCTACATGAGCTGATAATAGCCTCAAGAACTTGTATGTTACATCCGCAAAATTGAGTGATCGATACGCATATATACAGCATATTTCTGATGAGTCCACGTCTATACGCTTCTCCGACTTTATCTAGTGTGTATCGTCTAATTCGCCTTGCATTAACTATCTCCTCCTTCATCATCATTCATATCTTCAATTAGTAGGCCCAATATAATGTGTTCCCATTTATACTAGTGTGTTTTTAGCAATTCACGTGACTTAATATATAAAAAGATTTAAATATGTGACAATCTACCACAAAAATCATGAAAGCTCACTTAGCTCAGTTTAAGATTGAATTTTTATTAATAGTATCTAATGCATTAATCGATATGATCATAGGTTGCTATACTAAGAGAATCTATTACAATAAAAAAGTTTATAACTAGGATGTCAGATCCATTCAGGTATCATCGGGATGATAACAAGAAAGGAAATGCATGGTCGATCGTCGGAATAAACTTGAAAAAAGTTGTAATGTCAGGAAAAAGGAGTACGGGAAAAAAGATGAAGGAAGGCTGATAGAGAAGTTGTCGTGTATGATCACAGTGCAATAGAGGAGACCTCGACCG